ACGAGAGGTGTTCGCCTCGGGAGGTGTTCGGCACGGGAGGTGTTCGGCTCGGGAGGTGTTTGGCACGAGAAGTGTTCGGCTCAGGATGGTGTTCGGCACGAGAGGTGTTCCCCTCGGGAGGTGTTCAGCACGGTAGGTGTTCGGCTCGGGGGGTGTTCGGCTCAGGATGGTGTTCGCCTCGGGAGGTGTTCGGCACGGGAGGTGTTCGGCACGAGAGGTGTTCGGCTCAGGGTGGTGTTCGGCACGAGAGGTGTTCGGCTCAGGTTGGTGTTCGCCTTGGGAGGTGTTCGGCACGAGAGGTGTTCGGCTCAGGATGGTGTTTGGCACGAGAGGTGTTCGGCACAAGAGGCGTTCGCCTCGGGAGGTGTTTGGCTCGGGAGGTGTTCGGCTCGGGAACTATGATTGCAGAGGACATTGTCAGCTCAGCTTCGAACTGAACCATCTGTACATTAAATACATTTGACAAGTTGAACATTGTCCTTGATTTGGGTCGCGGCTTGTCATTAAGGGGTGATGGTGGGTCCCGCAGCCAGACCAGTTGAGAACCACTGCTCTTGCAGGTAATGTTCCCACCCACAGTATGAAGGTACATCAGAACATGTGTGCTGTAGATAGTGCACTTTAGAAACTCACTTTCTTCTTCAAACCTTTGACAATTCTGTGAAAGTAATCCAGGATCAGTGACAGCACAGTACAAATAGCCTGCAGCATATTTATAGAGCTTTAGAGACGTGGGGACTATTTAAGGCTCATATTCCCCAGTGAATTAAAAAAATAAAAAGTAAAGCATTCCAATATAGTCTGGTCATAGTGTTTGAAGTTTAGAGCCATGCCAAATGGCTGCAGAGGACTTTGAGCTTCAAGCTGACTGGCACAATACACGTTTGTGATGGACTCGTCTATAAATAGACATTGTTAAAATAGAAGCTTAATCTGAGAATGCTGAAGGAAATGAATGAGAGGACAACTAGCAACAAAAAAAGAATCACAATGTATTCTGTTTTCAGTAATCAGTGTTTTAATGCATTCAGACAGAGTGCAAGATTTGGTCAGACTTCATAATCAGAATGATCAGTGTTTTAGGACAAAGGGTGAAGACTCAATAAAGAAAGTTATTAAGGCAGTCAAAAACATGAGGTTGACACACACAACAGCAGATGAACAATGACGTTTTCTTTACAGTAATCCGAGAACATGTTGGTGAATAAAAGTGCAGAAGATCTACAGGTTGGTACACAGAATGTACGGTAACCATGACTGTAATACAGTCCTTCACCACAGCATGTTTAGCTGGAGGAGAAAAGTGTCTTCCTTTATGATTTATGGATCCCACACCTCCAATAATACAGTATATTATCCCCAACAAGGCGACCTCACTACATGGTCCATGCAGTGGCTTTTGTGGAGCTTTCAACCACTTCCGATCCATTGTTGGCTTAAAAGCTGAGATGTACATCAAGTCCATTCTCTTTGACAAGTCAAGAATAATATATTATTGACTTGTGGTCCTTGTTTTTAAAGAATTCTGGATTATTACAACATTGGCATTGATAGGACCTTATTGACACTACTCTTGTCAGTGCAGAGCTTTATCCGTCTGTTATTTATGGCATCTGTGAAGACCCGCCCTCTGCCTCCGATTGGCTGGTACTCATTTTCTTCTTCGCAGAACTTTCTTGCTGATGGATGAGATTGGGGGAAGGTTGGTAGGTTAATGATTTCAACTCAGATGTGGATGTTTTCATTAGGATGGCAGCCTTCTTGTATAGTGCTCTAATACGACTACAAAATAATGCTATGCACGTTACATATATGGATGGAATAGAATTACAGATCTGTTGGAGAAGTACATTTTGATGTGACGCCATGATTCAACTTAATGCTGTGGCTCAAGGATTAAGAAAACTATTTAAAAATGGCACTTCATATCAAAAAGGTTTACGTCAATGTCTACTAGCTTCTCCTCCTGCCTTTGATGGCACATTGCTGCATATCTTAGCTCATTACTGCCACCTGTTGATCAACCATTGGCTGGAATGTGCAGTGGAGCTAACGGACACACTTAAAAGAGAAAAACAGGCACATTGAAAGGACTCCGGTATCTCTCTGGCCCACGTTGATCCCCATGCACTATCACAGTGAAACTATGTAGAGGTAGCAACCGAACACAATATTAAACTCATGAAACAAGGTGAACCTTCCTATCAACACAGTATTAACTACTTCTTGATCACCTTCTAAGTATCAGTACGTAGTATTGACGGTCCATTTTTCACCTTTTGGTGTTGTTGTACTTTACCAAATCATATCGGTTGGTACCATGAAAAGGAACACAGCTTTAAAGTGATGAAGACCAGAAACACAACGATAAGACCCGCGTTGTGATAAACTGGCTTACCTCAGTTACCTGAAACCCTGACCGACACCCCCCCCCCCAGAGAGCAGCTACGACATCTGGTTGAGCCGACTGTTAAAACTCTTTAAATCACCATCCTCTTAATTTGCATATCCTTACTATATAAGTATATCTTTACATGTTAGTTTTCAGACATCTTGCGGATCATGTAGTTGAGGATGCCTCCGTGGTGGAAATACGTCAGCTCCACGTCAGTGTCGAATCTCATCCTCGCTTGGAATGTTTTCCCCGTGTCCAGCTGCGAGGGCAGAGACGAGACGACATCATGTATCACATCACTTGAACAGGGAAATCATGTCCCTCCTCTACAGGAAAGAGTCTAACGAACCTTCACATCCACAATCATCCTGGGCGTGAGCTGCTCGGGCATGATGATGGTGTAGCGCTCTCGGCCGCTCAACCCCAGGCTGTCGGCAGTGTCTCCTGCTAGATACTCCAGAGGAATCACTCCCATCCCCACCAGGTTACTGCGGTGGATCCGCTCATAGCTCTCTGCCACCACTGCCTTTATACCCTGAAAGCAGAAGCAGAACAACTCATCACATGACCACAGTTGTACACTTAAAGTCACATGACGATAACTAAGCCAGCCCCACGACAGCTGCACTACAGGTCCCTAGACTTGTACTTTGTCCCAACGGTATGAAAATAAAAAAATAATATTTCTATATTCAGGGTTTCTTCAAGGTTCACAATATTTATAATATCACAAGACTTTTTTTTACACAACATAAAATGCAGTTGTTTCACCATCATACTGGCTAAACTATGAACGTATGGAAAACCAGTAGGGACAAAAAGGCATATTATTACATCCCATGTTTTATCAGCACTCCCTGTAGAATATGACAATCATTTCTGATGATATCATTTATGAAATCAATGTGACCTGGATCGGATAAGTAACATAAAATGGAATGATGGATAAACAAATAAAAAGTATATTAATACATTTAATTTAAGTTTTTGCTAATTTCACACCATTATTCAAGACTTTTCAATAACCTTTGAGGGTACTTAATTCCACAACATCAATTTGGGCAGAAAGTCCCGCCCATTCTTTTGATCTTATCTCCTTGGTAACTGACTAACTTTAAATTGCATCCAATGAGACAAAGAGGTGCTCCTCACCAGCAGGAAGGGGCCCTTAGCTGCCCAGTCTCTGGAGCTGCCTGAGCCGTACTCCTTCCCTGCTAGAACCAGCAGAGGGACGCCGGCCTGCTGGTATCTCTCTGCAGCATCAAACACATCCAGCTGGACAAACATGCAAGTGTTAGTGCAAATGTAACAGTCCATCTAGCCTACATGAGGTGAGGCAACAGAAAGCTTAAGAACGTGGCATGCAGAAGTTTCCCTTCTTGTTACACTGAAACAATTGACGTAAAAGCATTTTGTTGAGATACAAGAATGACAAACAGCATCTACATAGTTGTTATATGTTCTAGAGGTGTTGCATGCTGACCGTCTCTCCAGTTGGCAGGTGAACGGTTTGTGGCGCCTGCTTGTTGATGAACTTGTTAAAGAGGCGGATGTTGGCAAACGTCCCCCTGGCCATAACGGCGTCGTTACCTCGACGTGAGCCGTAGGAGTTGTAGTCCCGTGGGCTCAAACTGTCAAAGCACAAACATGGTGAAGCAACAAGCTTTTATGGACAGACACAACACAACTGATCTCAGGCAGGAAATAAAGGACAATTCCTGTGCAGAGGAGTACAATCAAACGCCCTGTAGTGAGCGTTTCAATCTAAATCTGGGCTTATTTAAAGTCTGACTACTGTCCATCGTCACTGCAGAGTCACATGACTGATGAAAAGAAAAGCCACATGTCAGACTGCTTGGTGGTGGCTCACCCTCTGTCGGTGAGGTAGCGTGCTGCAGAGCTGTTCCTGGCGATGTTCCCAGCAGGAGAGATGTGGTCGGTGGTGACCGAGTCTCCCAGGTTCAGCAGCACGTAGGCGTCCTGGATGGACTTGGATAGCGGCAGCTCCTTGGTCTGAATAAAGAGCACATACAGTAAAGCTATGGCCAACAATAATAAAGATATTAGTAGGTCACCAAAAAATGGAACAATGTCTGAATAACTGTATGAGTACTAGTAGTAGTAGAAATATGAAATAATGGTCATAAACAGTAGTAGCCTTCCTAGTAGTGAACTATTAAATATGAAAAACAAAGTTGCACACTTGTCTAATGTGTATAGTATCCTGTATTTATATTGTAGTGGTTTGGTGTATTTAGAGTATATTCTTCTTTATATTGTGTATTCTATAGCTACACTGAATAACCTGCTGCTATAACAATAAAGTACAACCATCCATCTATTAGTAACAGCAGAGGTATGGACATCCAGAGCTGATTAAATCATTTAATGAGAATATTGAATTATCATTTTCCATTTGTGTTTGTATGATGTTAATGTAATTAAAATGAAAAATAAATTTGAATTGTATTATTTGAAAAAGTGTTAGTAGTGAAAAAAAGAAAAGAAAATAGACTTATAATGTGAACTCTTAATAAGCGTAACACTCCCATGATGATGATAAAATAGAATTCTGTTTCATTTTCAAACCCAAACTTGTAACTCTACCTTTCATTTGAAAGCAACTGATGGCCCCCATTGGGGTCCACTGTCGAAAGGAGTTCATGTAAATAAACAGATGTTTGGGAGTTTTCATTATCATTGCTATTCTGGCACTAGTTCCACATTTCCAAACATGAAAATGTAAACGGGATTTTAAAAATATAATTCTCATCATGAGCACATTAAAGGAAAACAAGATTTCTAGTCGATGAAGTGACTGTATTTTAATAAAGGCAGCCTTGGACTTAAGTTATTATAGTTGCGTGAGCTTGGGAAGATGTTTTAATTTGTATATTTACCAAACCATGGAAGAACGGCGGGGACTTGATGTAGGTTGATTTAGGGTCCCAGGTATACAGCTTGTCAGAGGGAGCAACCAGAGCGTTCCAGCATTCATTCACTCTCTGCAACACGACACAGTAAGATTCAGAACAATCACACATGACATCACACTGTAACAGACTAAAGGTTACACTACCTCAATCTTCTCATAGACTTCTTTGAACATGGATGGGATGACAAACGTCCTCTCCACAGCCTGGATCTCCTCCCGTGTGGGCCAGATGTCCCTCAGGAAAACCTCTTTGCCTTCAGAGTTTATGGCTACAGAGGACACCAGAGGACACAACTAAAGACAGGAAGCTACATTTGTTTTATGCATCAGGCAAACATAAATATGGACGCAAAGAGATTTAAATCACATAAGAAAAGTTCTTATCAAATGTAATTTCCAACCCCAAGGCTAACCTGATCACGCAAACGACAAAAAAAAAAAAAAAAAAAAAAGAGTCAAGACAGCCTCTCTCCAGGCCTAAAGAATATTTTAGAGGATACAACTTGATGTATGGGCCTGTATGAGGATCAAGCCAAGCAAGTCTACAGCATTCCAATAGTCAAGGGAAGACTGGTGGAGATTCCACTAAACCACAAACACCACTAAATCTACTCTCATCTGGAAAAATCCTGGTTTTCTAATTCAGAAACATTTCCACACAGAAAACTGAAAAAGGCATCACACATCTCAAACACAGCTTCCACAATCATACTCACTCCCCCACTCGGTCCAGGAGTGAGAAAGCAATTTCTAGACATAGATTCAGCATCCATCCAAACTATATATATATATATATATATATATATATATAGTTTGGATGGATAGCAGCTAATGTAGCCTGGAGCTTCCAGCCTGCAGCAGACACTTGAAACAACTACATGTGTTTCTCTCTGCGTAGTTACTCTCAGAACACAACGACTCACCAACGGGTTCGCTCTCAAAGTTGATTCTCACAGTGCCGGCGATTGCGTAGGCGATAACGAGCGGGGGGGAAGCCAGGTAGTTGGCTCTGGTGTTGGGGTGGACTCTCCCTTCAAAGTTTCTGTTTCCTGAAAGGATCCCTGCAGCAACCAGATCTCCCTGGAACACAAAGCGATGTAAACACTGCACGGTAGAAAATACTTTATGTCATTATATTTTGGAAATGTATTACTGTTCATCTACAGAGCTAGTAAAATAAGATGAGGAAGACCAGACCAGAAAGAGTAACGGGAACAGAAAACAAATGGAGAAAAAGAAGATAGATGAGGAAGAAGAGGAGCTAGTGAGTGCTTGGAATGTGAAATGCTCATAGATATGTGGACACAGCCTCCTAGTCCTCTTATTACCTGTGTTATGGCCTCCACCACCGGCTCGGGGAGCGGCCCACTGTTTCCTATACACGTCATGCAGCCGTAGCCAACGACCTCAAAGCTAACAGGAGAGACAAAAGGATTGTTCACAAGGTAAGCTTCATACTGTGCCAAGAATCACATGAGCGAGGCCTTTTGTGTCACACTTATATCACAGCATTGTTTGACTAAATGTTAGTGTTTATTTATTGTATTTTGACAGGATGTTCTCAATGAAATTTTGCAGAGATCACAAAATTCACATAACAGCAAAAACAAAGTGTTTTGCTTTTGAAAGCAGAAGCAGAGCTGTAAAGTCTGCAGTCAGTATAAAGTGGGAACCTATGAAATGATCAACAGTCAACACTCAACTGGCCTTTATCAGTCTTTGACTGAATACAAATGCAATATCAAGGGCAGCCAAGCAGTGGTTCCATTTCCACTCGATCAAATGCTTCAAAATAAGATTATATTTTTCAAATATTTTCAGCACAATTCATTTTTCTCTCCCCTCAGTGGTCGCGGTCTCTTTCGTGTGTGTGTGTGTGTGTGTGTGTGTGTGTGTGTGTGTGTGTGTGTGCGCGTGCATTAAGCCACTGCAGCCCATGTTGTATCTACCTCACTGGATTAGACAGAACAGGCATTCATCAACAGAGTTGTATCTCAATTCAATTTCCAGAATATTTCATATGATACATATATAGAAATTGAATATGAGAGGATCATTTTACTGAAAACTAATATTACAAGTGCTTGTTACTTATTTGCTGACATTTTTCAAAGATTGTCTTTCTCAGCAGATTTGTTGTCAAGATCAACTTTTGTCACATGACAACAGGCAGTTACACACTGTATATATATGTATATATACACAAGTATGTATTATTGTATAAAAGTACATACAAACATAATCTATGTATTTATGAGCTTTATTCAACAGGGCAAACTTTGTTAAACGATTATATGACTTAAAAAACGACACAAAATATGTTGGAATGAATTCAAATGAGGACTTCCACACACTGCTCCTCAGAAGCTCTGGTGTCCAGACTGTTGGCTCAGGACGGCTGTGCTCACTAGTGTAGCAAACAACAGAACATCACTACTTTCTCTTACTCCTACTGTTGGTCAACAGGACAGGAAACAGGTCATGTGAATGTTTAGAGTGCCCTCTGCTGGGTCACAAGGCAAATGACTTCAAACGGTCTTGTAGACGGAAAAATCTTGAATTCAAACACGTCATTACAGTTTGAATACTAACAACGTGCCAACAAATGTTTGATTTTTCGGGTAAAAAAAAGCCCTAAAAGATGTGAAAAAAAAAGCTAGAAAGTGGACCTTGTTTTTTGTTTGTGTGTGTTTTTTAATTAAAGAATGAACTTTTACACTCGGCACATTAAGCGTCTTTGTCTTCCCCACACTGAACATCCTGATCCTCCATACAGAGAGGACTGACTGATGGGACTGTGAGCAGCTTACCCCAGCTGAGAGAGGTAGTCCATGACCCCGCTCTCCTTTAGGTAGGAGGTGACCACTCCACTGCCAGGTGACAGGCTGGTCTTTATGTATGGCTTCACGCTCAGGCCACACTCGATTGCTTTCTTTGCAAGGAGCCCTGAAAGAAGAGCATTTATCTGTAATAACTGTGTCAGGAGTTAATACACCCCCATGATATTCCAGAAATCCCATTAAGAGAAGTCTTGCTCATCCACCTGCTCCAAGCATGACAGATGGGTTGCTTGTGTTGGTGCAGCTGGTGATGGCAGCGATGACCACGGAGCCGTGGCTTAGTGAATACTCTTTCCCGTTAAACTGGAAGGGGACCACAGCGCTGTGACGCTCTGGAGCCATCTGGAAGCCCTTGAAACCTTGCTGAAGATGTCACAGAGCGACATGAGACGAGTCAAACACACTGACAGTAACAGCAGAGTGTCCTTTCAATTGTTGAAACTATACGTTTCACCATACTTTACTTTGAGAAATATGAACAGAATTTTCTACAAACAGAGAAAAAAAGCAACAGAGAACAAGAGAAGTTTTAAATGAAATAATGTTTATCCAGAAGGCACCCATACAAATAAGTCTAAAATATGCAATGTTTTGATTTAAATATCGAATTAAAAAATAAAGCAAGATTACAACTCTGAACAGACATTTGATGCTAGCTCTTTGTGTTTTCTTTACTTAATACTACAGACATTTGAGTCAGTATCAAAAGGTACTGAGATTCAATCCCCAGCCCTTCTGACAATTGGCACCACAGTCTTAATTCACGTTAAATGCATACTTTATCATATTTCATGTTGAGCGCTTCTTTGTTTAGGAGCAAGCCACATTGCATTTCACTACATATATTGTTAGTGTATCTGAATCCTTGATTCTTCATGATGTGATGTGTGAGCACCTACCTTTGCTCCCAGGCAGGCTTCAAAGTCTGTCTTCATGTCGGACACAGGGATTCTGTCCTGAGGTCTTTTGGGGCCACTGCAGCATGGGACCACTGTGGTCAGATCCAGCTCCACCACCTGACAGACGGAGATGAGGATGTACTAGAGCTCTCTGTCTCACTGTGCGCTGCCAGAAGTCTCCGTCATCATTTGACAATTCATACTATTCTGCTTACACATAGTCGAAACTTACGTCTTATATGCTGAACCAAGTCATATATGTTCTTCGTCTCATCATATTTTAGTGTTTCGTATCACATTACTACATGTTGCAGCTGATAGCTACCAGGTTCAGAGTGTCAGCGAGGAACTCTGTTGAGCCATTTTGGCATTTGGAAACACTATTTGACCTTTCAAAAAGCCACTGTTAATCAACCTTTCTTTATAGGCTCAACAATATCCAACTATTACTTCAAAATGCAGAGCAATGTAGAGACTGACCTGAGTGAAGTCTGGATCCTGGGAGACATCGTTGTAGTCTCTGAACATGGCCACTGCCTTCAGGTACTTTGTAACGTACGCCTGCTTTTCTGCTTCTCGCCCTGAATACATACAAAATGGAAACAATTTCTTGTCATAAATCAGAGAGATGAATACGTCCGGATCTCCACTGCTGGACACTCACCGGTCTGCTCCAGGTACTGGATGCTGACGTTGTCCACGGGGAAGAAGGCTGCTGTGGCTCCGTACTCCGGACACATGTTGGCGATGGTGGCTCTGTCGGCGATGGACAGCTGAGCAACGCCTGGGCCAAAGAACTCCACAAACTTCCCCACGACACCCACCTGACGGAGGTGCTGAGAGCACAAGGGGGGAGGGGACAATGTGAGATTGTGATGATGAACACAACAGATTTAGACATCTTGGAAACCCAGACAGAATCAAACACGTCTCTGCATACCTCTTATTTACTACTTTACTTTGATGATTACGTTGTTAAAAGGTTTAAGCGTGATTACCTTAGTAACTGTGAGGACAATGTCTGTGGAGGTGATGAAGTTGTTTGGAGTCCCGGACAGCTTGTATCCCACCACCTCAGGCAGCACCATGCTTATTGGCTGACCCAGCATAACGGCCTCCGCCTCAATCCCACCCACACCTGTGGGTTTGATGGCGACTCTTATTAGGAACTTCATGATCAGAGATCAATAAAGTGCGGCTGTTTTGGTTATTGTCATGCTATCGTTAGCTAGGAGCTCATCCATTGCACTGCATGAATAAATGAGAGCAGGCATCTGCACCAAATATAAACCACGTGTGGATATGTATAGTGTAGAGGAGACGATGTCTTACCCCAGCCCAGCACTCCCAGTCCATCGATCATGGTGGTGTGGGAGTCGGTGCCCACCAGGCTGTCTGGGTAGAAGAAGCCATCCTGGTTGAACACCACTCTGGCCAGGTACTCCAGGTTGACCTGGTGAACGATCCCTGAACCAGGAGGGATGATGCGCATGTTCCTGAAGGCTTTTGAGCCCCACTGGGAAGGACACAACATATTTAATGGTAAAAAAAATCTCTACATAGTTCCCTTTATATCAGACACTGGGTTTGTTCACTTTTATCACCTTTAAGAACTGAAACCTCTCTCTGTTGCGGTCAAACTCCAAGTCCTGGTTTTTGTGAAGACTGTCCGACCTAAAGGAAAAAGAGCCCGTGTGTTTACGACGTAGAGAAGGAGACAAAGTATATTATAGTGATATAAACTGAGATGATGTTCATGTTTTATCTGTATGAAGGATAATAGAGAATATGAAGTGATGGCGCCATGGTGGAGAGAGTTCTTACTTCCTGTTAAAGTCCACCTGGATGGAATGATCGATGACGAGGTCGGCGGGGCAAACAGGATTAATCTTCTCTGGGTCACCGCCCAGTTTCATCACCGCATCACGCATGGCAGCAAAGTCCACCACAGCAGGGACACCACTGCAAAGACAGAGACAGTGGCCTCAAAGGTGAGTCCACTCACCTTTGAGGCTTTTGCTTGACACCATGATTTCATGGCTGCACCATTCCATCAAATTAGATATCATATAAGTATAAGGCTGACGATATTTTTGTGTTTTTCTAAACAAAGAAAACTAAAAAAAAACAACAACAACAACACCGACGACGAGTTAGTCAATCGCTCAAAACGGTTTGACTTTCTAACCCAGTCTATTGATACCCAGCTCTGTGGCACAGAGATATACACAACACTAGTTAGTGGATCCATTCATTGCTGGTTTGGCTCTGCTCATATCATTTTAAACATATTTCTCCCAAATGGTCAACATTTGAAGCAGCGGAGAACAAGATATCCTGACTTTAGTCCTTGTATGGGTCAACCTGCATAAACACATCCTACATTTCCCATAATGCACCTCAGTATCATTTAACCTTAGACACTGTCTGATAAACAACCATGTCTTTCATGCTTAAGTAGGCAGACTGTAACGCAGGCGCTCTGTTATGAATTTGTAGAATTCAAAGCCAAACAGATATTCTGATGACATCACTCATTCTGATTAAACAATGAGTAGTTCTCACAGTGACTGTGGCCCATGTGTGTAAAACTGATGGAGTGCCCTGTGCTGTACTTACTGTAAAGGGCTCCGTCCATTGTTAAAAACCTATGGAGCTACTCACTGACATTCTAATGCAAATGAATAGTGTCCACATACGTGAAGTCCTGGAGGATGACGCGAGCGGGTCGGAATGGCACCTCCACAGTTTGAGTCTGGGTCTGCTTCCAGTTGAGGATGCTTTCCACATCCGAGCGCTTCACCAGAAACTCATCACAGTTCCTGACAGCAGACTCCAGGAGGACCCGGATAGAGAAGGGCAGGCGGTCTGAGGAGCAGATGAACAGTGAACCTCTCTGGAAAATAGATCGCTAAAACTAGTCCATTACTCTGACAACAGGTTGTATGTCTGCATCCAGTAGAGAATTGTTGTTACCATATCGGGGATCTCCAAGTTTGGAAAGATTGTAAAACTGCTCCTTTGGGTCGTTGGGGTCCAGAGGCTCAACTATATGTTGAAAAGGATTTTTCACAGTTGCAGACATCCTCCTCTGTGTGTCGGTACGAATCTAAAGCAGGAACAAAAGCAACATAAGGATGTTTGTAATACCATACAATAAATAACAGAAGCAGGGACGAAATTAAACATATTGAAAATATGAAATATTCTCATTAGTCTTTTTTTTTTCTGCTAACGTGAAGACCAGATTAATCAAATCAGAAAGTGGTATCTCTATACAGAGCATGAAGAGGGTTAAATACAAGTCATCGGAGGCATTTCCATGTTCAGTGTGGTAATGGATTAGCCGGAGGGTTAGTGAACTCTCATCGCATGTTTTACAAACCCTTACATAACTCACCGAAACCTCTTTAGCAATCTCATTCAACTTTAAACAGAACAATTCTTCAAAAAAAACAAACTTGAAATGGAAATGTGCAACTGAGTGTTGGACAAGCTTTACTTGTTGAAAAAGAACACAAAGTGAATAAGAGTTCAGGGGATTGTTTGTGCTACATGTTCCTGTAGAGTGGTTAACAACAGAGACTCTCTCACATCCTGAATGGCCACATATTTGGCTGCTTAGTTGAAGAGAGAGAGGTCTGCTGCAAAGTGCAAAGTCCATTTATGACACTGACATTACTGTGATGCAACACACCCAGAGCACATGTCTGGTGTGACAATATGAAACAGTTATGTTCAGTGTATTGGTAAATGAATAATGACTGGTGCTGGATATTGAACGTCTATATTCTTTGGTTCAAACCTAAATATGTCCATGCCATGAGTATTAGGAAAACTGAATGTCTGTTCATATTTGTCATCTTGTTGACGTAATTCTCTGACCACACAGTTCCTCATGTGAATCTAAAATTTGACAGCTTGAGACTGTCATCACAATTATGGATATCATATAAACAAACCATCCCGTATATTGCAAATAAATATGTTCTTTCTAAAACAATGAGATGATTTTGTTTGATCTAACCAGAACTGTATTACCGTAAGTGCAGTTGACTTGGATCTTGCCCTACATTGTTCATCCATATTTACATTCCAACCCTTTAACTTCACTTGGCCCTCTGACGGAAGTTAGCATTAGCTAACGGTACTTAACTCAAATGTTAACAAAACGCATCAGTTTAGTATGAAAACATAAAAGGAAAGAGGCAGTCTTAAAGCATTGCTAGTGGCTGTTCCCCATCTATTAGCATGACATGGTACAACCAATACAAATGTTGAATGTGACAGCCCAAGTTAGCTAGTTCAACCTACGTCTCAACATTGTGCAGAAGAGGGATTCCACAACGTTACTCTAGTATCCGCTCTAACATTAGTGAAGACAGTTTACGAGACACTTATTCAATCTAGTCAGACTCTACTTACTTCTGTGTGCAGGAGGAGACACCACAGAGCACGGCCGTGTTTTACACTGACAGAAAGAGAATATAAGACTACTTCCGCAGAAAGCAGCAACAGCGATTCATTTGTGTCTTCTTTGGTGTTTATTGGCAGTTGGCAAACCACCTTATAAGTGCATTGCCGCCACCTATCGAGTGTGGGAGCGGTAGATTGACGGAAACAATAAATGAATACACATTTTCTCTAATCCTCCCGTTGCTCTTTGGTAATTAATTAGGACATTGTGTACTTTCCTTGATGCCTTTCCAACAGATTCCCCAATATAATATTATATTTTCCATTGATCAGTCCTGATTATATTCCTTCTTTCTTCATACCTATGCATAGTTAGGCAGTTTCTGCTTTATTACAGTGTGTGCATTGTCAATTCAGGTGCTTGCCTATTCTATAGAGTGTTTGATTTAATCCTGTATGTCCTATTCTCAGATTGGTAATGACCTTCTCCTCCCTTGGGCTCCCGTTCAGTATTCCACCAACACCTTCATGTTTTTGAATACTGTACAGAAGTCTCCCTGTGTCACTTAAGTCCCAATATTCTTGCCAGGTGTTGCGTATATTGTCCTTAATGAGAGTTTTAACCTCTGCTTTGCTTAATGGTACATGTATGTCAATGACATCGTTTTAATGACTGTTTAGCCGATACGTCTGCATGTTCATTTGCTACATGAGCAGGAATTCAAAGTAAGGAGGTATCTAAACCCCTACTGTCTGAGTACAGCATAACAATGCCATACAATATATCCTGTCACCTATATTTCACACAAATACAAGTTTTATTATATATATTATGTGTTTGAATTTAACCAATCCAGGGCCCTGGAATGTGTGGGCCCCTGTGCTGCAGCCAGGCCAGCCCTGTGCCGTCCACGGACCATTAGAAGAAAGAGAATGACCCTTGTGTTCTGTCATCAATTTCTTTTAAAGCTTCAGTTTCAAAAACTACAGATGATTCAGTCACATTGTTCATTGTTCATGAAAAAAAGAGTTTAAACTGTAGATTAAATGTTGAGAGTCCCTGCAGTTCATTACGTTGTCCAGTAGGTGGTGGTGCTGTTGCAGTCTTCACAGCTGCTGTCAGCTCCACAGTATGATAGTCATTCAAGAGCTTCTGACCTTTTGACCAGATGGTGCTGCTGAGAGGAGGCGCAAAGGTGAGAGCACATGTAACGCATCATTTCAATTCAAATCATATTTGTCTTCCACCAGTTCAAGTTCAGCAGCGTGTAATCAGACAGTAGCATTTACTGTCGTCATCTTTACAGTTTTTAGTAAACCAACAGGATCATCATCACATCACATAAACTTGCTCAAGGAGAAATGACTCCAAATAATCTATGAAAGTCAAGATAATCCCCACTGATCTGCACAATGGTACCATGAATACATTGTTTAATTGTTTAATGGTTTAAACATGCATTCATAATACTTTATCCATCACTTTTAGCTAACCATTTCAACTTTTCTGTAAGTATACTAACTAGTTTCTATGTACTCTCATAAGAGATATTTGAGTGTGACAATGGATTCAGGTCACTGGGAAACTTGTGCATGTCCTGTGCAGTCGACTCACTGGATTAAAAATTGACCCACTTTGGATCAACGTGGCACCGACGAAATAATTGGTTCACTTTACCAGATTAACAATGAGTTCCAGTGGTTCCAGTGGTTTTATTTCCTCTCATGTAGTACCTCTACATCGTGGCTCTGCACTGCAGATCTGTTTACCTGCCGCTGTAGGCTCAGAAGTAACATCAGTGTGAACTTGTTGGTCAACAAAGCATTTGTTTTGTGTTTAAATGTTTTCCCAACCTGAAAAACTACCACATACACAGTCACATCCCACCTGGAAACATTTCAGGGATTTATGACCTTATGGCTAATGACAAATAAATAATTAATTTCTAGTGTTTGTCTTCTTACCGTCTAAAAGCTTAATTGATGTTTCTTATGGTGACTAAAACCAGCTTGTAGTCCATCTGTACACACTGTAAAGAGCACTTGTTACAGCATTCATTGGAAAATCAATACAAATACTCATATTATAACAATAACTGAATGTAAAAACTTAAGTGTGTGTGAGTGTGTGTGTGTGTGTGTGTGTGTTGTGGGTATGCTTCATACCAGTTGTCCTTTGTGTCAATATCCTCCAGACAGGAAGGTGACAGAGTGATTGACAGCTCAGTCTGTTCCCGTGACTGAGACATTTTGTTTTCCATTCAGCCAATGCACTGTGTGGCCTCAGCAGTCACAGTACACAGACACACACACACACACACACACACACACACACATGCACACACACACACACAGGCCATGACATTAGGGGCTTGGTTCTGGCAGCAGGTCATGATTGGCTGACTAAATATTGTGGGTGTGGTCTAAGGAATATGAATGAATTCTGACAGGTCTGTGATGATGTAACTGTGACGTCAGAAATTGGGATGATTGCCTCAAAATGTCCAGATCAGTCAAACTAACACTTGTTCACATTCATGCAGCATTATTCATGCTTGATCATGCGGGGATAAACATGTCATTGATTGGGACACTGCTGGAGTCTCCACACACATTTGTCTTCATTTATCCATGACATCTGGACACATGTGAGCACATTTGACCCACACCTCACCCCATAGATAACCTATAGATCCAACCTGTGGTTTTTACCTACTTTCACACAATAGTTGTTGTTTAGTTGCTATATTATAAAGCCTGCCAATCAAGTTACCCTACTACCAAAGAAGTTTGCTTTCATTTGTATTATAAATTGGGCCTTTAAAGCCGGATTAACCTGGTAGAGGGCCCTGGGGTAAAATGAGCTGCTGGGCCCCTATTAACCCCCCTTACTTCCACCTTCTGTTTCTATGTTTGAATGTTTGATTTCGAATGTAGAATGTTGATTAATGTTAGCCGATTTGTGTTTGGGAGGGCGGTACTTTCCCTTGTTGTAACCTAACCAAACAGTAGTGAGTGACAACCATAGACAGAAGATGTGGTAGACGTTACCAGGAGCAGTTAACGTTCTTTATGAAATCAAAATACATGTTGATTTTAGAGTTGTGACCCTTTTGGCCATTTTTATATCATTTTTTTCCATGTATGTAGCTAAGTAAGCTAGCTAGCTGTGAGATAATGTGAGAATGAGGGTGCTGCAATATATCAATACTTTAAAAAAATTTTGTGAACAATAATTAATGAAACTGAATATGCCCTTTTGATTTACAGAATATGATTTTACAGGAAAATAAATGCTGTAATGATAAAATAATTACATAACTATAGCAAGTTATGTCTTTTAGCTTTTTAGGAGATATACGGTAATGTTATACGGTAATATTAATAATACTAATAATAATGGTCAAAAATGATGTGGAAAATGCGTTAAATCGAAAACCTTCAGATTTTCTTGGGGGCGGACCCCCAACCACAATATCTCCTACAGCATCTTTTCTTCACTTTAAAATTCAGAGGGTAACAGTGATTACTGATACACATATTTACCACCATGTGAATAAGGGGAGTACTGGCACTCTTCCACCTCATTGGGCGCACTCTTGATTTTCCTGTGTATCAATCAAAGCCTGCTAATGTAGCTAAATTGCCAGCTTGTTTCCAACCTGTATCATCACCTGCGCGCTCATGTTTCTTGCCAGGTAAAACCAACTTGTGTGCAAAAAGCAAAGATAGAACCAAAGGTCATTGCTAAAATGATAAAACCCAAACTGTAATAACGTGTGGTTTTCAATTGCTTTCCATTTCCATTTCCAGTACCGCTGCAGCCACTTTTGTACCAGAGCTCATACAAGACAAGATATTAACTTGACCTCAGAGAACTTAAGTATAGGGAGTGAAATCCACTTTCATTGAGGTTTGCATTGCTTCATTGTTATCAACAAAACAACAACACATAATTTAACATGTATAAAAGACACACAGCAAGTCTAGAGAGTTCAAACTGTCTAACAATGCATGCTGGGAAGTCTATTAGTATGCTAATCCTGTTCCATTAGTGAGCACTCAGCAGTACATTTACTCAACTCATAATTTTAAGTCAAATGACTCAATCAATCATGGACACGAGTTCTGAAATGGTCTGAAAATAAATACTAAAACTTTAAGTTAATTCAACTTAAAATCCGTTTACATTTCAACATAGATTTTTGAGTTTATTGAATTGAGCTGGGATGTGATCTATTGCTTTGAAATTCACACTTATTTATTATTTACAAAGTTCCATAATGTAACTCAAGGTAGCAAATATCTATTAGTAATCTGGTTATTCAGATCAAAAACATTTGTAAAAGCAAACTTTTTCGTTCAGGTACCTTTGAGATGATGAAACATGAATCAGGAAGGCCATTTAATTTTTGTATGATGTTTTACAGCGTATCAATCCAAACCAATACAGTGGGCTTTCCTTTACATCAACACACACAAACAAAGCAGTGAAGTGCTTTCTCCCTCGGGGCCATGCAGTCCTTGTTCACTAATGCTTGGGGTTTTCATCCAGCTGGGATCGTCTTAGACAGGTGAACTGAATCATTCCTTCCCAATGCTAAAATAACCTCTCTGGCTGCTCTCAGCCTCGTGCAGGCATACTAACAACCCTGCACACCAAGACAACAGGGGAATCCTGAGATGAACTTAACCTACGATCTCTGATCCATCCAGAGAATACGTTATGTCTGGGAGAAGTCTCGATCCTGTCCATCTGTCTCTGATTAACAAGGTTTGTAACCTTTGGGTCCCAGTTCCTCCTCCACTCAGAAATATTGCATCATCCATCTTTATTTCAATTACCACAGACAGCCCTCTTTGGCCTGCTAGCACACCCACCCACATAAATGTGTGGAAGTGCAGGAGCGAAAGGTGCTCTAGCCTGCTTCAAGGTCAGATGTGTGTATGAGCTCTAATGGTTTTAAGGTTATAAAGGGTTGATCTGTTTTTACATGGATTTTAACAATAGCATCACAGCTGGATCTTTTCCTGTGGAACACACTGTTTGGTTTGCATAGCAACATCTACCTTGAAGCGGCACTTATCAATATATTTGCAGTAACAATGG